TGGCTGGCTGGCTCTGGCTTGCCGGGGTGGGCGCTCGGGGCAGCAAGCCGGTGCCAGGCGAGGCGGGGCAAGGCGATGCCTGCACGCAGCGCCGGCAGTGCCCTCCCTCGTGGGTCGAGATGGCCAACAGGCGGCTGGGCCCGGCAGCTGGGCAACCGGCAGCCTCGACTGCAATCGGCGCCTTGGGTCGACATCATCGCCCCCCCCCCTCGCCCGCCAACCCACGCTACTCCACACCGACCTTCGCCCACCGCCATCAGTTTCCTTGCAGCTCCCTTCTTACCACGACACGCTCACGACCTCACCCTCCGCCAGTCGACTGCAGTTCTCCTTCTCCTCGCACCGCTCCCAAGCTCATCGCGCCCGCATCCATCCGTCGACCGAGCCTACCTCCACCCACCATCGCGGGCTCCTCTAGAGAGCGACCGACCGTCCCACTCTATCGCTCACCGACCAGCTGTCATCGCCCACCGCTTCTGCCCATCAGTTGCGCTCGCGAGCAAACGCCAGCCAGGCCCTTTTCGAAGCCAGGCCGACAGACCAGTCCAACCCGACCCCAGTCGAAGCTTCCACCCTGCTCGCACATCTCGCTCGCCTCACCCGCCGAACCCTCCGCTGCTTCGAGGCGGTGGCCGCGACCACACCCTCCACCGATCGCCCGAGATGGCCTACGTCGCCCTCTGCAAAGCGCTCTACGACTACGCCGCCCAGGATGAGGACGAGCTCACCCTGACTGAGGATGCCACCCTCTACATCCTCGAGGCCGATGACCCAGAGTGGTGGAAGGCCAAGCTCCGCCGCCTCAACCCGGACGGCACGCCCGTTCAGGACGAGACAGACGAAGAGGCAGACAGCCTCGTCGGCCTCGTCCCCGCAAACTACGTCGAGGAGGCCGAGCCCCTCCGCCTCAGCCGCGCCCTCTACGACTACGACGCCCAGACCGAGGATGAGCTCTCCATCGCCGAAGACGAGCTGCTGCGCGTCTACGAGACCGACGGCCTCTGGCTCCTGGTAAAAAAGCAGGGCCAAGATCCGCTCAGCGGTGGAGAGGGCCGTCTCGGCTACGTGCCCGCCAACTACGTCGACGAGGCAGAGGCCGTAGACACCGGCGCAGCCCCCCTCGTCGAGAACGGCGCCGTCGAACCAGACGAGGCCGAGGATGAGGACGACGATGGCGAGGACGACAGCGTCGCACCGGCTGCAGCGGCGGCGGCTGCGATGCCGAGGATCAGCATGCTGCCATCCGCCAGCGGAAAGGGCGACGAGATCAAGATGTGGCCCGTGTCGGTGAGTCTGCTGGTCTCTTCTTCCTCTGCCGCCAGCCGAGTCGACGGCGATCTGATCATTCCCCCACGAACCCCCCTCTGCACGCCACAGGCGCTGGACAGCAAGAAGAAAAAGAAGAAGGGCACGCTGGGCATCGGCAACGCCTCGCTCTTCTTCGCCTCCGAGAGCGACAAGACGCCCGTACAAAAGATCAGCATCCTCCACATCGCCGACTACTCGCTCGAGAAGGGCAAGAACCTTCACCTGGAGCTGTCGCCCGAGTCCGGCTCGGCGGAGACCAGCCTCGACTTCCACACCGGCTCCAAGGACGCCGGCAGCGAGATTGTCAAGAAGATCGAGTCGAGCAAGCAGGCGGCCGCGTCCGAGGTCGCCTCTGCGGCATCTGCCGGCGTCGCCGACAGTGCTGTCCCGCCCGCGCCCACACCACCGCCTGCGCCCGCCGCCTCGTCTTTCCCTCCACCGCCTATGCGGACTGCGTCCAACACCCTGCCGCCGCCTCAACGCAAGACGGTATCGTTCCAGCAGCAAGCCGATGACGAGGAACCCACCGCAGCCGAGGAAGCGGCGCATCCTGCAGCGTCGGCTGCTCCTGCCGCTGCTGGCGAAGAGCACGCCATCGCCCTCTACGACTTCGAAGCGCAGGGCGACGACGAGCTGTCGGTGGCCGAGAACGAGGCTCTGGTGGTCCTGGAGAAGGAGAACGACGACTGGTGGAAGGTCAGGAACGCTCAGGGCCAAGAGGGTGTCGTGCCGGCCAGCTACGTCGAGCTGAGCGAGGCGGGCGCTGCCAACGGAGGCCAGGATGCTGCTGCTGCGGCAGCGGCTGCTGAGGAAGAGGAGCGGCGCCGTCAAGAAGAGGAGCACGAGGCCGAGGCCGCAGCCGCCGCAGCCGCAGCCGCCGAGAAGCAGAGAAAGGCCGCCGAAGCAGCCGAGCGTAGGCGCAGAGAGGCCGATGAGAGAGCCGCCCGCGAAGTCGAGGAGCAGAGCCGGCGCGAAGCGCTCAAGGCCCAGCCGGCACCGGAGCCGCCCAAGCTTACCCAGCGACCCAGCACCACCGAGGTCAACCGCGCCGCGCGCAACGTGGCCATTCCGCAGGGTCGCAGCGCTCCTGAGCGGCCAAAGGACGGCGGCGGCCGTTCCAAGCCCCGCCCGAACAAGACGCGGGTGTGGAGCGACCGATCCGGCCAGTTCAAGGTCGAGGCCGAGTTCCTCGGCTTCAACCAGGGCAAGATCCGCTTGCACAAGATGAATGGCGTCGTGATCGAGGTGGCCATCGAGAAGATGTCGGACGCCGACATTGGGTGGCTCGAGGACGTCACGGGCAAGAAGCTGATGCCGAGCGAGGGCGACCTGGCGCGGCGCCGCGAGGCCTCTCGATCGCAGCAGTCGCAGTCCGGCTCGGCCCATCGCAGCGAACGCGAGCGCGAGCGCGAGCGCGAGAGGCGCCGCGAAAAGGAGCGCGAGCAGCGTCGAAGGGAGCACGCCCAGAGCAGCGGGCCGAAGCGCAACGTCGACTGGTTTGAGTTCTTCCTCGCCGCCGGCGTCGACGTCGACGACTGCACGCGCTACGCCGCCGCATTCGAGCGCGACAAGATCGACGAGACCGTCATCGGCGACCTCGAGGCGGGCACGCTGAGGAGCCTCGGCCTGCGCGAGGGCGACATTATCCGCGTGTCCAAGTTCATCGACCGCAAGTACCGCCGCAACAAGCAGCAGCCGTCGTCGAGGCCGTCGACCACCGGCGGAGCCTCGGCCTCGACCGCGGCCGACCTCGAGAAGCAGATCAAGGCCGACGAAGACCTTGCAAGGAAGCTGCAGGAGCAGGAGGGCGGCGGCGGTCGAAATGGCACCGCCAGCCCGGCGCCTCCCTCGCTCTTCTCGGGCCCTGACGGCACGCTCAAGAACAACACGCGGCGCGGTAGGCCGACGCCCAAGGCCGGTGCCGGCAGCGTCGATGCCGCATCGCTCGCCGCCGCGTCAGAGTCGCTGGCCCGTAGCACGACCGCCTCGCCGCCGGGGCGCGGCAACACCCTGAGCCCTGCGATTGCACCCAAGCGGACGGGCTCGACCCAGCCCGCCGCCTCGAGCGGCTTCGACGACGACGCCTGGACGCCCAGGCCTCCGAGCACCAAGCCCGCCACGCCTGCCGCTGCTGCTGCACCTCCCGCGCCGACGCCACCCC